ACTAGGAATGCAGGCCAGAGATGAAGCATCAAAATATTTTATTGTGTACAAATACTTGCCTACCCCAAGGTCAAGTTCATTTTGTTCTCTATAACCTCTTCTATCAATGCCAGTGGTTGTTTGCTTGACACAGAGATTCTCTTGGATGTTGTTATCTCATGGTGTCTTTTCTCTCTACCTATTGTGCTGCTGGCTCTAATAAGCATGTGGCAGAATGAAGGAAAAGAGGTCACAGCCATTCTTAGAGGCCAAAGGAAGAAGGCAGGTTACAGATTATATTCTATATTTGGATGTTTGGAGTGATATTGATGTAAATGCTAATAGAACAAGTGGAAATTGCCCAAAAGAAAGTTAGAAATAAATATTTTAGGAGTAGGGGAAATGAGAGAAAGCTATGGGTAGTTCATAAATGTAATAGAAAGCACAAATTTTCATTTGTCTAAACAATTTTACTTGACTCGCTAGAAGCTATTTTAATTAACAATATTGACTTAAACTGCCTTATGCATGTGCATTGCTATTAAGCCTTTTACTTGGAATAGAATGTATTTATATAACAAAGAAAGATTAAGTCACAAAATATATAGCTGGTTTTAATTCTTATACCCCTTAATAATGAACAGTACTTTGATGTTCATTAATCGGAGCTATGACATTTAAATACAAAGAGCTGAACAAAAAGTAGACTTTTGTGCATTGTTTAAGATTTTATACAACGGATTTGTTTGTAAAGAGATTACCATTATCTTATTGCATGCATTAGGGGAACTTACAACTATTTAAACAATGAACAATAATGTGTCATAAAAGATGTCAATATAATACATTCATAACACCAATTAAAAACTAAATTAAGGGGAAAAAACATAATGATTTAATGTCTACATAAAAATTAGATCATTTCAGAGACAGCTCTCCACCTAGTCAAAGCCTTGGTGGTGCAGCAGACTAAACTGCTGTTAAAGTAGCACTCAGCTGCCACCTGCCTGCAATTACTGCGAGTTCAATTCTCACCAGGCTCAAGGTTGACTCAGCCTTCCATCCTTCTGAGGTAGGTAAAGGACCCGGTTTGTGGGGGCAATAAGCTGACTTTGTATAAAATAGAACACCGCTTTGGGTGGTGGTGGCAAAAAGCCCTACTAAGCAGGTATATACAAAAGTATGAAGGCTATTGCTTAATGCATTTGTAAGCTGCCCTGAATCTCCGGAGAAGAGCAGCATATAAATTGAACTAATAAATAAATAATAAATAAATAAAGCCAAACAGAGAGGAAGAATCAGGCTTCAGCAAGCATGATGCACCACAATAGTGATAGAATCAATAATTTTTCTTCATTTAGATAGGAAGCAGAGATGGGAAGCAGAGTAGATGTTCTGTCCTCACTACACATTAATCTGTGTGCAACTCGACATGCAGCTAAACCCATCTATCCTCCAATAAAACAGACCATGAGTGTAGATCTGAATGCTTTATTGAAAGAACAGGATATGGCATAGATCTGAATGCTTTATTGAAAGAACAGGATATGGTGAAATTGGGGAAAATAGGAATACATACAATGAGAACCAAATACAAGATAGGCAGTATTGAGTTATTGCTGAACATAACAATTAAAACATACAAGTAATTTAAATCTCACCAGTGATGCTCTGTGTGTGGGATGTGGGTTTGTCCTTGGATGACCATGTGCCACAGATTAAGATGAATTCTTCTTTGTGCTTCTGCCTTCTCCAAATGCTAAAGGAAATGAAATCTGGCTTCCCAATGTGCACCTGTTTTGAGAGTGTGGGCTTATTGGTAAAGAGCTTCAAACAATATGCTTGGGTATTTGTCTCTCTGGCCACTACATGGGCTAGAGAGCAACAACAGTATATAAAACTTATATGTTTGGGCATGACAGTAGATCTTTCTGACCAGTTGGAAGAGGAAGGAGATAGGTAGCATAATACAAAAGCAAATAGGATATTCCTCCCATATAGAATAGAATAGAATTTTTTATTGGCCAAGTGTGATTGGGCACACAAGGAATTTGTCTTGGTGCATATGCTCTCAGTGTACATAAAAAAAAAAAAGATACGTTCATCAAGAATCATAAGGTACAACTCTTAATGATAGTCATAGGGTACAAATAAGCAATCAGGAAACAATATCAATATAAATCGTAAGGATACAAGTAACAAAATTACCATCATACAGTCATAAGTGGAAGGAGTTGGGTGGTGGGAACGATGAGAAGATTAATACTAGTGCAGACTTAGTAAACAGTTTGACAGTGTGGAGGGAATTATTTGTTTAGCAGAGTGATGGCATCTTAATCTTTGAAATAAATTTCCAGTTAGGTATCAGCAATATATTTGCTCACAAAAATGCTGATTTTATAGGGGATACATTGGTAAAAATTGACAAAGAGGCAAAGTATATGCTTGCCCAGCCACACATACTGACCTAACCATGAAACTACACAAAAATATAATCGATAACCATTAATAATCCTAGGACCATTTCAAGCAAGAGAGAAAAAAACCCACAGTTATATAGCTAATGTTCCATAACTCATAGGAATAACTCCTATTTTCAGGAAATTCCAGTTAAATTCAGCCCAAATGACCTTTAAAATAATCAACCAAATATCCAGATCTCAGGATTCTCCCTCTTCCTTCACCCCAGCCAGTAAACTACACATGCAAAGAAACACAACAATTAAGTAAAGATTAAAGGGATTTTTTTCCCATCAAATCCCTAACTCCTATCCAGAGTTGTTTAAGAAGAATCAGAGTAACAGGTCTGTTCATGTTCATTAGTCAGCAAATTGTTTTTAATTCTCTGAAATGGAACGAATTAAGAGGACAAAATTGCGATGATTTCTTCCCCTCTCCCATTAAATCCAGACTTGTATAGACTTCACACATTCTGCAAGTCAGAGAATGAAGAGTTACCCATATGCTATCTATTCCAGCTTTTTTTATTCACAATACTGGAAAATAGCTGTTGTAAAGACTTCATACAATTTCCTCTTTCCGTCTCTTTTAAAAAATAATGAAGTGTTCAGTAAATTAGAGATGTCATGGAGATATACCTCACTGCAGTGAATTATAAAAAGTAGTAATTCAATGTAAGGTGTAATCACTATGTCCAGAAGCAAGATTAAGACTCATAGGCATGGTATAAAATAGATTTATCTCTCTATATAGCATGTCTTTAAACCAGTTGCCAAGGTGAATCTTTTAATGAATGCTGCTCTCATTCAATTGCACATTAAGTTACTATTCTCAGAAAGTATTCTCAGGCAGTGTGATTCATTTGGCCTTTTTTTAATCTAACAGGCTTGTAAAATTACAACTCTGTGTGCATTCCATAGGCAACAGTAAAGCCAATTTATATTTCAAACCAAAATCCAAAGTTGACCCAAACTTGATAAATGACATCTCCTTTTCAAAAAGCCTGTGCAGTTAATTTTTGTAATACAATTGTGAGAAGAAAGTCTGCATAGAAATAATCCAACTTCCATTCCCAACATTTGACTTTTCTGCATATAGTATTTCCCAGAGGTTGTTCCATTTCAGTTCCCATGTATGATATTTTTCTGGACTTTGGATTTCAGCAAGGGGAGAATTACTTTTGCCAACATATGATACTTTTGCCAGGAATTTCATTCTGATACCATCAATCCAAGCCAAGTGCTATCATATTTCTGACGCTGATACTATCATCTGGAAAGTTTTTATTAATATTGATGTAATTAATACCACTTATTTTTGCATGACTTCTTATGGAATTTCTAATGCAACTGACCCCATTGATAAACTCCAAGAAAATTACCATGCAGTCATTATCACCTTTATAATAATCATTCATTATTGAAGTACCACAGTATGAAATATAAGTGAAACTAACCTAAGTGAAAGGGTTAAACTAGGTCTGCATAAATCCAACTCTATCATGGAAGCTTACTGAGCATTTTCCTCTTTCTTTACAAATATTGAGACTAACATGGGGGTAATGTGGGTCTTCTATGAAGACACTGATTTTATCCAGCCCATAGCTGTTTTGTTTCAATATGGCCTCAAGGTTATCTGATCTAATTACTTAGAGAGTAATTGTAGCACATAATTACTCACTGATATTATCTTAATGACATTGTGCAATTCTAATTTTTCCTGTCTCTATTTCACTGATAGTATTAGCACAGAAATGAGTTTTATGGAGGTATCTGCCAACACCTATATATACATATATTGGATCATAATAAGATAGAATAGAAATGGCAATACTGGATAGGACAGCTAGAAGAATTTGTTTTTCTCTTTTTTTTTCTGGCCAAGTGTTTCCTATAAAGAAGTGTAACTGCTGTGTGGGGTGGTATTCACTTACCTTCGCTACCGGTTCACAAATGTGAGTGTGCACGCCTTCCGTGCATGTGCAGAGCATCAAAAACGGGACGTGATGACATCCACCCAGGTGGACGGAGCCTCCCGCAGCTGCTGCTACCAGTTCGCCTGACCCGGATAGAACCAGCTGAATACCACCACTGACACAGACACATTCCATAGTGTGGTATTAAATATAATCATAATTCTGCTAATTATTCACATTTGCTTGGTTGCTAAACTTTCGATAATTGATGATGTTACCATTATACCTTCAAATATATCAGATGCCTTCTTCAAATGATTTGTTTCCCAGCCTTATTTCTATCTCAGATGATAATTCTTGACTTATGCATGTAAAACAGTCACCTGAACAAGAACCTATGGTAACTAAAATATATGTGTCAGACTCAAATATATTTATCTGGAAATCTTGGGTAATGCTTCAGATAATACTTTCTTAGATCATTTTACACTGCTTTTCAACTTTGCTGTTCACTACCAAATCAAATAATTCTAAAGGGGACTTTTTCAGGTTTTGCCCTGGTATGATTATAAATGTCAAGAAGCAAAGAAAAGTTGTGGAACATTTCAGGATATATAAAGAAAGCCACTCTTTATTTTCCACTTAGGAATAGTAGAGTGAAAATGGAAAGATGAAATAGAAATGGAAAAAGAAGGTCAAGGAGAATCCATGAGATCCCTTAACAGCTACACCTCAATTAAAGAATTCTACCTTTTTCTGGAGATTCATTCATCTTTACTTAAGACCCTCATCTCAAATCTCCACATGATCATAGTTAATTTTTGTGCACTGTATACATGGGTTTGGACAATGGATTTTGTTTTGGACATAGAATTTAATTGCTTCCCTCAATGGTTTCCTGTAACAAGCTGTGAAAAAGAGACTATAATAAAACATTTACAATTTTGAATGACTCCATTTTTTTTATTATTACTGACAAAGTTATAGATAAATGCTTGAAGTTGTGAATTGGCTTCTCTTTCCACCACAATTAACTGCACCATTCAGATCCCAAGGGATTAAGGTCTAGCTACAATTATTCCAATTTTCAAAAAAGTAACAGAGAAGTTCCAGCAACTTATTGCCCTATCAATCCCCTGGGCATAATTAGTAAAATGTATGCAAAAAACCTAGCATTTATTGAATTTAGGACAGCTTTTGATAATTTCAAGAGATAACCTGTGGTTCAAATTGAAAAACAAAACAATACTATTAACAGATACCTTTTGTTTTTACTATTATGAAGAAGGACAACTAACACAGGGTTTACTATTTAGATTCTGTGAAATCTCACAACTAAAAGTTAGGCACAGGCCAAACCATCTTATAAGACAGGTTCCTGTGAGTAGATGTATCAGATATGATTATATCTCAATGCCCTTACTATTAAATGATTAAATAATCCAGTTGGTGGTCTACTTAAGGAAGCGTGATTATCTATGCATATACACATGACTCTGTAATGATATCACTGACCCCAGCTGACATGAAAATAACCCTGTGTCTTCTTGCGCAGATAAGAGCCCTTAGGGAGCAATTATTCTAAGACTTTTCTTCCATTTTATAATACTGCAAAACTCGATATTGGCAGTTAGATGACCATGCCATAGAACAAGTTAAACTCTTGAATATTTAGAAGCGGTCTTTCAAAAAACAGGAAAATCCTGGATTTCTTTAAGAAATGCTTAAATGCTTTATGACCACCCTTAGTATAATGTGCAGAGCCCTAGTATAATGTGCAGAGAAAATATCTATGGCATGTGCTGAGTTCATATTCATGGCACAATAACTTTTTACTACTAAAGCTTATCAGCATGGCCCAATTGGAGGTCTTTTGGAGGGTAGATAAGGATAGGAACCAATTTAATAGGTCATTCAATCAAAGCATCGTCTATTGCTATTTGCAACAGATTGCAATAAAGAATGGTGAAGTTACTATGTAAATATAAGTGAGTACAAAAGAAAATACTAACATAACACTATATTTATCCAGCCCCTGTTGTTCAGTGCCTTAATGCTTATTTGCCTGTCTACCACTATCAACTATTTCTTTCTTTCAGAATTGCTTATCTTGTCAGCAGTGGAATGTTAATTTCCAAATTTTGCTAATCTTGTTGCTGCTAGGAAAGAAAGAGAAAAAAACAAAGAGATTACCTTTGTTTGTCTCTCTGTAACCAACTGTCTTTCTCACCAAGTCATTTGCACCAAGCATTTTGTATTTCAGCAACAATCTACACAAGACTGCCTTTTCTATGGCTGTTTTGGTTCCTTTCCTTTTTCATGCTTTGTCCTAGACCTGATGCAGAAATCTCTGGTTCATCTGGGCTCCTCAGTCATGGATAATTGGTGTGTGCCATACATTCGGTTGTTCTTTCTTCTCCGTCACTTCTGATCTGGTCATCTCTCTCAGTGGTGGCATTTTCTGCAGAATCTGAAAAAATATATAATCCTAGTAGAGTCACTTAAAATGCAAAAGTCATCCCAGATGAGGAGTGAAATGCTACTGGTTCGCTCCAGTTCAGGCGAACTGGTAGTGATAAAAACTACCGGTTCGGGCCCGGTAGTGATAAAAACTACCGGTTCGGGTCCGGTAGTGATAAAAACTACCGGTTCGGGCAATCTGGTAGTTAAAAAAAGCTACCGGTCCCTCCAAACTGGTATTTCCAATGATCAACTGTGTCGCATTATTTAGCTTTGCTAGAAAGCAGGAAATCCTGCTTTCTAGTGAAGCTAAATCGTGCGGCACAGCTGATTCCCCCTCACTCTTCTACTTACCCAAGCCTCCTTTTGGTGTGTACTGCACATGTGCGTGCAGCGTGTGTTTGGTGCACACCGTGCAGGTGTGCATATGCAGCATTCATTTGGTGCACACCGTGTATGCATGCGCTCACAGCATACATCTGGCACACACTGTGCATGCACGTGACAACGCACGCTTGGTGTGTAGTGCACATGCGTGGTCAGTGAACCGGTAGCAAACCAGTTCAGATTTCACTACTGTCCTAGATGCCAGCTAAAGCAAGCAGGAACCTATATTGAGAAGCAACAATTTAGGAAAATGTTGGAGGTATGTCAGTAGGAAAGGTACCATTGCATACAGTATGGAGGAAGACAATGGTAAATCACTTTTATGTCATTTCCAAAAAAATCAATTGACTAGACAGTACAAGTAATATATCACAGTTCTGACTGATGCCCTAATTAAATCATGAGCCTCACACCAGGCTTCAAAAGAAATACAGTTATTTATTAGGAGTTTTCAAATAAAGCCAATTCTGACCTCACTTAATTTACATCCCGGCTCTGACCCTGTTTGTCCCCTCCTTCCCCCCCCAAAGCTGTGTCATCAGTCACATTTCCCAAGGAAGCAATTTTGCAGGTTGTAGAGATCACTCCCCTCTGGCCACTGTGGGTTTCCGTGGAGATAACCTTGGCGTATTGGTTGGAATGTGCTTTGTTTTGACTGAGATACCAGCTCCTTGATACCGCTGTGAAGTTCGTTTTCCCATCCCCCTTGCCCATGGCAACTCGAGAGCTGGCCAGGGATGCTTTGCGAGTTGACATAATACACAATATAATACCAGATAATAGGCCTCCAAGGTTAGATGGCACTCAACAGATTACTGACGAAAAACTGAGGATATTTCAGAGTATTAATGATGCTGATAACATGACTAGATTAAAATGTATGGATGTCCAGTTACTGATGTTACCATCAAAAGAAAATCAAAAGCAAAATCCAGAATCCAAAGAAAGAATTACAGTAGGAACATGGAACCTAAAAAGTGTATGAATGTGGAAATCTTAAAACAATGGAATATTAAATCTATCAGCCACACATTAAAACTTTGGCATCAATGAATTGAAATAGTTTGCCATTGGAAACTTTCAGTCACAACATCCTTATTTATTACTAGGGCATGAAAAATAAGAAAAATGGTGCTTCTTTCATATTCAGAAAGGTTATAGCAAGGACACTATTTGAGTATAATGCAATCAATGATCAAATAATATTTGTTTGACTTTGCAGGAAATCCTTTTATAGGTCATAATCCAAATACTGATGGAGATGACTGTTATAGTCAAATTCAACCTGAAATTGACAGAATAGGCAAGCAGAATGCTGCTTCTGGAATGCAAAAGTTGGAAATAAGACAAAAATACAGAGCCTAGGAAATAGACATAAATCAGAAGAATGACATCAATTTCTGCCAATCCAATGATTTATTCTATGCTAACACAGTGTTTGAACAAAGAAAATATGAAGTATAGCCATGAAGTACATAGAAATAAAATTGACTCTATTATTGGCATAAGAATTGGGAACTGTTCAGGAATAACAGCAAAGAAATAGTCAGAGATTGGCTCTGGAACAGATTATGATTATGGTAAATTCCAAGTCAAGCTAAAGCAGAAGTTTCTACAATATAGAAATTCAATCTCTGTACCCACAATTTTCAAGAGTTAATCAGGAATTGCTATTAAATCCTGAAGAAGTATTGGTAGAGAAATTTGGAATTGGGTTAACAGTTTATTTAAGGATCGATGTAAAAAGAGATAGCTAAACATTAAGAATCAGAAGAAAGCAAACCAAATATCAATTTTGTTAAATGTCAAGAAAAGAGGAAAAGAATAGTAAAGCCAGATAAAATTCTTTGGGAAAATCTTAGAAAAAAAAGGAGTGTCACAATGACAGTCAGAAGGCTACAGGAACTGATTCACAGGCAAGCCACAGAAGAATCAGTAAACGTTCTAATCAATTTACACCAACAAATCTGAAGAAAGATAAAATGGTCAACAGATTTCAAGATGTCAGTTACATGCCAACACCAAAGGATATTTAACAGAGTGTGCAAGCTCTCATTCAGTAGGCTGAACTTCACATGCTAGCAAGGAAATGCTTAGGATCATCCAACATAGATTAGACCATTATGTGGAAAAAGAGATGCCAGATTTCAAGTCCATTTTCGAAAAGGCTGAAGAATGAGATACATTATTGCTGATGCACACTGGATAAATGAAAAAGAGCCAAACAACACCAAATAGAAGAGACAGAAAACATTAAAAACTGATAGCCAAAATAAACCCAGTGATTCATCGAATCTGCCGTTTGAGTCTTTTGATTGTTTTTGTCTTCTTTTTAATTAATTATTTTATTTTATTTTATTTTTGTTGGACGATAGGCATGTGCAGGAGTGAAAAGCTACTGGTTTGGGCCGGTTCGCGTGAACTGGTACTAAAAAATGCTACTGGTTCGCCAAACTGGTAGTAATTTTTTTTTTAAAAAAAAAAGTTCCGACAATCAACTGAGTGATGTGCAATCATTAGAACTTTTTTTTTTTTTTTACTTTTTAAGCATTTTTTTTACTACTGGTTCTGGAGAATCCACTCCGGGGTCTTTAAGAGCAGCAGAAATCAGCTGTCACACCACATGACCCCCAAGACCCACCAGGGCGGTGGGTCCCGAGCAGATTCACCGCCCAAGGAGCATGATCTGGGTGCTCCTTTGGCCAGCCTGGCTTGGGCAAGGCTAGAAGGGGTGAATTCCCGAACTCCGGTTCAGCCGGCTGCAGAACGGATGTCAGGAACAGCCTGCTGCAAAAGACCAGGAACAAACACACACACACACACACACACACACACACACACACACACACAACCCGTGTGCACAGCAGTACTGGTGAGGTTTTTAGCAAGCAGTGCAGGAAGCCAGACTTGCCTTCACAAGTACAAAAGCTTCCTACAAATGGAAAAATGCCAGGAGCAAGCACGCATTTCTTTTTGCACTTGCTCCTGGCATTTTTCCATTTGGAAGACGGAGAGGAGGAGGAAAAAGAAGATGATGGTGACAATCCCGGGCGCATGAAGCAAGGTGTGAAAATCCACAGCAGGAAGCTTGGGGTGAGTGAA